CGTCTTGTCTCATTGAGGGCTTCACATTGTATATGAGAGGCAGCCCGGGGCTCGATTCCCCGTGTCCGAGTAGGGGAGCTGCCATAATTTTGGGTGTGCCCCGCGCAAATTGCAATTGCTCGCCTATTCAGCTATCCAGCTGTGCAACTCATCGGACATAGTGTACGGTACACAGCCTCTCTCCTTGCACTTGTGTTAATTGCGCGGAGGCAGCCGGGTTCAACTTCCCGTGTCCGAGTAGAGGTGATCCGATTTTTTGGGCATGCTCCGTGCAAAATCATTCACCAATCCAACTTCGCAGCGATCCAAACCATAGGACATAGTGTACAGTACACCACCTCTCTCCTGCATTCGGTTTCTTGGATCACGGAGGCAGCTCGGGGCTCGACTCCCCATCCGAATGAATAGCTAGGCTCGCTCCTGTTTTTGGGTGCGCCCCACGCAAAATTGCTCACCTATCCAACTTTGCAGTTGTCCAAACCATCGGACATGGTGTACAGTAGACCACCTCTCTCCTTATAAGCAGATGACCCAAAACCATGAGGTTGCCCAGGGTTCGACTTCCTGTGTCCGAATAAGATCCACGGGTTCTCTCTTTTTCCTTGGTGCTCCGACCAAAATCACTCACCAATCCAACCTCACAGCTACCCAAATCATCGGACATGGTGCGGTACACCGCCTCCCTCTTAACGTTTAAAAGCTTCATCCAGTGAGTACGAGGCAGCCCAGGGTTTGACTCCCCGTCTCCGACTACTGGAGTCGACCGCATTTTTGGGCGCCCTCTGTTATATCCTGAGCCAGAGGGAGGAAGGACCCGGAGCCCGCAGGGGTCCAGTCCGGCACAAGTCCGAAAACCGGAGACCGGAATGGGACCGGAGTCCAAAGATGTCAGCTATTCTTGCAAGCACCACAGCTCAGAAGGGTGTGTGACAGTCTGGCATCCAAGCCAAGACAAACAGAAGGACAGATACTCCATGGCATATAGCCAAGCCAACAGGGGCTACTCCGAAAATGGCGATTCAGTCGGAGCCCTGCTCCCGGAGGAACTCCGGAAGCAAACGGAAGGTCCGCAGATACAATCCGATGGAAGATGGATGAGGATCGGAGGAGCATGGGAACCGGAGGTCCGGAGGTCGGAGGTCGGAGATGGAGTGGAAGTCAAGACGGAGGATGAAGAGGACATCCAGAGGTTTGGTGCAACTCCGAAGTCGAGCCAAAGATAAGATGGTGAAGTGGTCTCAGTCCATGAGAGGAAACATGGAAACAACATTAATTTTACAGCTGAAGTACATGAGGATATTGAAGTGTATTTATACTAAGTCCGTTATTGTTAACCTAAATAAGGTAATGTGACATGACCAGAAACATAACAATAAGCGAGAGTCCATATATGGACACAGAAGTTATCTGAGTAAGTGTTATATTCCTGCACACGGACTTCGGTCTGTCTCCGACTTCCGGCCTCCGACCTCCGACCTCCGAATGTTCGGAGGTCAGAGATGGAAGATCATCGGGTTTTTACGCAATGAAGGTTTACTGAGCGTTTCCCGTTTATCTGTTTTTCCATTCCTTCTTAACTTCTCGTTTATTGTTTTGCTTAGTCAGCTTACTTCTTCACCCAAATTTGGACTCTTGCTTATTGTTATGTTTTGATTTACCATATTTGGGTCAACAATAACGGACTTAGTATAAATACACTTTAATATCCTCATGTACTTCAGTTTGATTATAAATGTTGCTTTGCTCCTTGCTTTGCTTCCGAGTCTTCCTCCGGTGTCCCTTTGGACTCCGTCATCCTCTGTCTTATCCATCGGCCTAGGATAGTACGCACACCCTGACCTTCCTGTGGTGTTTGCGCTCACCTCCGATATCTCTGACCTCCGACCTCCGATATCTCTGACCTCCGACCTCCGATCTTCCAACCGGAGACCTTCGGCAATAGCCCCCTTCATTGGCACGGGATATAACAGTAAGACAAGACAATAAACGAGAATTTGAGAAGATCAGATAAACGGATAAATGGGAAAACACTTAGTAGTATGTGATAGAGTAATATTCCCAATGGTCCGAGACCATCCGAGCCAGCTCCGAACCGGTCCGAAGGTCCGAAATCCGGAGGACAGAAGGGGAGGACCAAAGATGAAGCAATAGACAGGAAATGCTCAGTAATCCTTCATTGCGTGAAAACCTGAGATGCAACAGAACTCAGAAGGTCTCGGAGGACCGGAAGCGGAGTGTGACCGGGGGTATCCAAGCCCAAGTGCACGGATATAACACCCTCCTGCACAAAATTGCCCACTTATCCATCTTTGCAGCTATCCAAATCATCGGATATGGTGTACGGAATACTGCCTCCCTCCCTAGCTTTGGGTAGTATGATTGCACACAGGCAGATCGGGGTTCAACTCCCCGTGGCGGAGTAGGGGCAAGGAACATCTTTCTGTTGATGTTCCCAGCAAAATTGCTCACTAACCCAACTTCCCAGCTATCCAAATAATCGGACATGGTGTACGGAACACCGCCTCCCTCCCTAACTTTGGTTAGTGTGATTGCACAGAGGCAAATCGGGGTTCGGCTCCCCGTGGCCGAATGCTGGCGAGGAACAACTTTTTTTTGATGCCCCCCGCAAAATTGCTCACCTCCGCAGCTCTCCAAACCATCGGATATGGTGTACGGTACACCGCCTCCCTCCCTAATGTGGGTTGGGTTAATTGCACGGAGGCAGATCGGGGTTCGACTCCCCGTGTCCGAGTAGTTGCGGAGGTCTCGCTTTTTCCTTTAATGCCCCCCCAAAATTGCTCACTAACCCAACTTCCCAGCTTGTGTAGCACCAGGATTGCGCGGAGGCAGTCCGGGGTTCGACTCCCCGTGTCCGAGTAGGGGGGCCGCCATAATTTTGGGCGCGTTCTGTGCAAAATTGCTGACCTATCCAACCTCACAGGTACCCAAATCATCGGACATGGTGTACGATACACCTTACCTTCCTTTATCAAAGCCGAAAGGAATCTGAGGCTGCCTGGGGTTCGACTCCCCGTGTCCGAGTAGGGGGGCCGTCATAGTTTTGGGTGCGCTCCGCGCAAATTGCAATTGCTCGCCTATTCAGCTATCTAGCTATGCAACTCATCGGACATAGTGTACGGTACACCGCCTCTCTCCTTGAAACTGTGGGTCAATAACAGAGGCAGCCCGGGGTTCGACTCCCCATGTCCGAATAGCAAAGGTGACCAGCACATTTTTGGCCACGCCCTGCGCAAAATTGCTCACTAATCCGCCTTCGCAGCTATGCAACTCATCGGACATGGTGTACGGTGCACGCCCTCCCTCCTTATCAAAGGCGGACAGGATCCGAGGCAGCCCGGGGCTCGACTCCCCATGTCCGAATAGTGTAGAGTGCAAGTTTCTTTTTTCTATCATGTCGCAAAATTGCCCACCAATCTGACTTTACAGCAAGCCAAATAATCGGACATGGTGTACGGTACACCGCCTCTCTCATTGCGCTTGTACGTAACACATTATTAATTGCGCGGAGGCAGCCCGGGGCTCAACTCCCGGTGTCCGAGTGCTGTCGGAATCGATCGCTTCTTCTTTGATGGCCCCAGCAAAATTGCCCACTAATCCACCTTCGCACCTACCCAAATAATCGGACATGGTGTATGGTACACCGCTTCCCTAGCTTGGGGTAGTTTCATTGTACAGAGGCAGATCGGGGTTCGACCCCCGTGTCCGAGTAGTTGCGGAGGTATCTTTTTTCTGTAATGCCCCCCCCCCTAAATTGCCCACTAATCCAACCTCACAGCTATCCAAAACATCGGACATGGTGTGTGGTACACCGCCGCACCGCCTCGTCTTATAATTGATTATGAGGACGTATGCGAGGCAGCCCGGGGTTCGACTCCCCGTGTCCGAATACGTCAACAGTCGAACCCCGGACTGCCTCCGTAGGAAGAGACGCGTGCAAGGAGAGAGGCGGTGTGCCGTACATCATGCCTGATGATTTGGGAGCTGCGAAGGTGTATAGGTGAACAATTCTGCGGGGAGCACGAGATAAAAAACCGTGGCCAGAGATCCATTCGGACACGGGGAGTCGAACCCCGGGCTGCCTCACATTCTTTTCAGCTTCGATAAAGGAAGAGACGGTGTACCGTACACCATGTCCAATATTTGGATAGCTGAATAACTGAATAGGTGAGTGATTTTGCGGGCAGCGCGAGATAAAAATCGGACTCCGGCTCTCGAATTCGGACACGAGGAGTCGAACCCTGGCAACCTCATGATCTGCCTGTCGGTGCCAGAGAGAGAGGCGGTGTGGAAGGGTGGGATGGACCGCTCGTGGCCAGTCCCCCTTCCCGCATCTCCGTACCTACTTTATAGTACATCGGTCCTCGGACCGCTTATTTGTTTTGTATGTACATATCACCAAATATCTACCCTTTGATCCCGAGCCACCACCATCGACGCGACCAGTGACCCGAGCAGCCCACCGAGGCTACGTCGCCAGGGAACCCATTTCCCCCGAGCTCTACATTCTCCCCTCTCCCGAGCTTTTCCGCGTTACACGCGTACTCCGAGCCCGCACGGCACTATTCCCCGAATCGACCCAATTTTCATTGTACGCCTAGACGACTCCCTCGGGACCTATCTCTTTCTACTTCACCCTTACTTCTCATATCCCGGACGATCTACCCATTATTCTGTCTACCAGCCCCGAACTCCGTTCTGCGACAGCGGTGTACCGCACGCCATGTCCGATGTTTCAATAGCTATGAAGGCGGATTGGTGGGCAATGTTTTGCGAGGAGCGCGACATAAAAAACGGAAGACTGTTGACGTATTCGGACACGGGGAGTCGAACCCCGATCTGCCTCTGTGCAATCACACACTACCCAAAGTTAGGGAGGGAGGCGGTGTTCCGTACACCATGTCCGATGTTTTGGATAGCTGTGAGGTTGAGTTAGTGAGCAATTTGCTGAGGGCATCAAGGAAAAAGAGGTCTCGCCCCTACTCGGACACGGGGAGTCGAACCCCGGGCTGCCTCTGTCATTGACGTCATAGGCTTTAACAAGGAAAGAAGTGTGTACCGTACACCATGTCCGATGATTTGCATTGCTGGATAGCTGAATAGGTGAGTGATTTTGCTGGGAGCATCAAGGAAAAAGACATAACTGCGGGACAGAACTATTCGGACACGGGGAGTTGAGCCCCGGGCTGCCTCGCATACTCATGGAGGCTCCTCAAAGAGACGAGGCGGTGTACCGTACACCATGTCCGATTATTGAGAGAGCTGCAAAGTTAAATAGGTGACTGATTTTGCGGGAGCCTGAAGGAAAAGTGATCTGATCCCGACCACTCGAACACGGGGAGTCGAACCCCGGGCTGTCTCTGTCATTGACGTTGTAGGCTTTAGCAAGGAGAGAGGTGGTGTACCGTACGGAGAGGATGGGGGACGGTTCAAATGTTCGGGGCCCAGTGACGGTTGTACCAAGATGGTCTGTCGAGACCGTGCTGCCTGGGCGAGCATTGGCCATAGCTGCGCGGTGGGCCGCTGGAAACTGGCTGAAAAAGGCTTCCGACATGTTTTCTGACGCGGCGTTAGAACGATAGGAATTCAAAGGGCGGATGCCTACGCCTACTCGTTGCACGACGAATCTCGAGCGATGTGGTAGCTGGTCAAGAAGGAGCACACGTGCATTTTGTTTGGGCCTGCTTTCCTTCGAACTCCGCTCCGGCCGACGGCGCGGTTGAACTTGTTCAACATCGAAACGTAGACGAGCCCTTTTACGTGTGCCTGCCCATGAATTATCGGGATTTAATATCGTGTGTAACTGAGTAAATACGAACACCTTCGAACTCTCCGAGCGAGTTACAGTTTCGGGAGGTTCAGCCCAAGTTGAAAAATAAACTTAACAAATTGAAACCTTGCTCAAAGGGAAATCGACGCCCTGCCACTGTGGGCATGTGTCAACTTGAACGTAGATGGGATTTCTAGAGTCAGGATGCTGGTCTACGATGCGGACAACATTCGAACGAGCTCCTTCGAGTCCAGAATATGCCCCACATTACACTCCTCCTGCTTGTAATGTGCCGCCGCCTGGGCAGCCAGGAGTAACTTCCGGACAATGGATGTAATAGGATCATGTTCGATGAGAATGATCCTCATCGGGGAGGACAATGCTTCGGAGGTGAAGGGCGGTTATCCAAGGTATTTCGAAAACTCAGGGTGCTGCGGGACCTTCGGGGGCGACTCCGTTGACTGGGCGTCTGGTGCAGAGGGGAGAGATATCATCTATAAGTACCAAACTCCGTTCTATTACCTCCCCCGTTCAATTGGGCCCAATGAATTGATACAAGATCTTGCGGACCAGCCCCGATAGGTGCTGCGGGTCATTCTGGTATACGGTCTGCCGCACCACCCGAGAGATCAGCCTCTGCAGCGGAACAAGGGACGCGCGCACCATGACCATACCCATCCCGACACCCGCCAGGACGCCCTCGCCCCAGTTTCCCGTACGCAAAACGAGACCGTGGCCCCGCGCAATGAGCCACAGGCTCTCGAGCGCCTTGGGCAGGACATACATCGTGAGCTCCGCGCGGCGGTGCCGGTCCTCGATGAGCAGGGCGAGACCCGTGGAGAGGCCGCACAACCACCAGGTGCCCCGGTGGATGAGCGCGTCAATGAGGTGCTGGGGGAGCAGTCTGCGGAGGGGCGACGACGCGGGTGCAGTCATAAGGCGCTCGTAGAGCCCGTGCTTGATGCAGAGCACCGCTAGTATTCGGAAGTCGAGGTCAGCATATCACGTTCGCTGACTGGGGCATCGAGCCGCACCCTGGACTAACATGCCAAAGGCGCCGAGGAAGGCTGAGCTGCGCACGGTCCCCACGCTGGCGCGCGCCAGTACGTACGCGGGGTCCGCGCAGAAAACGTTCCAGCGAAAAACGATGCTCCGCACGAAGTGCAGCACCGAGTAAGTCGGGATAATCCAGCGGGAAACCTCGATGAATTTGTGTAAGGCCGCCGCCCGGCAACTGCTCACATCCGGGTGCAGACCATGGCAGGGTATATACCGCGGGAGACCAGGCGCGCCGGCGATGGCACGTTCGCGCAGGGAGATGAGAGACAAAAGATTCGTCGGCGTCACGTCAGGTCTCTCAATAAGTCGGTCGAGCGCGGGCATATCGAAGACGTTCTCCTGGACAGTTTTGATGTTGAATTTGTAAGAATCTGCGGGGATTCTGGTGGCTTCGTGTACCCTGCGAGGCGATCAGTCGAGGGCGGTCGGAGGGTGCTGAAACAGACACACCAATTGACGTACGATCGTGGAAGCGTATCAGGGCGAAGGAAAGACGCGTACATGATTTGTCCACATCTGAAGTCACGTCAGCACTCGACGGCCCTCGAAAGCTAATGCAAACGAACGCCAGGGAAAACACGATCACAGTGCCGTATGGAATGCTTATGCCCCATCTGTCCGAACATATATTGTATGCGCCCTGCAGTCCTCTGGGATCGCGGGGTGAATCGTGGATTACCCGTGAATGAGATCGAAACTGACCTCACAAATACTTGCTGAGCTATGCCTGACCTCTGGCTCTGCGTCTCCCAAAGAATGGCGAGACCGCCCGATATCGCCCCTGCCAGTGCCGAGTGCCAGCGGCGCGTACACCTGTTGACGACAACCTTCTTTTTATCATCGGTACAGAGGGAAGGATGCGGACGGTGGCGCTCATGGAGGTCTAGGGTTATGACGCCCGAGTCCGAGGAAGCCTGGGAGCCCCCCTCTTCCTTGTCGAATCCAGACGGCAGATCGTGCGCGGAGGGGTGCACGGCGGGAATAAGAATGGGCAGCGCATTGAGCAGAAATTTGTATAACGCGGCGAAAGTACCTGGGCCGTTTAAGTATTCAATTCAACACCGATAGAAAGGATGGGGTTCACCCAACATGGCCGCGAATCTGAGGGATTCGGAACCAAAGATGGCATGCCGCAGCCGAAGCCATTGAGCTCTAGAACGTTGGTCATGACGGCTTTTTGGCGGTAATTCACGCACACAACCAACGCACCTCGGGACCTTGCGCATCTTTATAAGCGCCAGAAGTAGATTGAAGGAGGCACGAATATTGAACGCAAGCGCAGCGGATCCTGCGAGCGGTCAAACGAATGATGAATTGCGAGTTGATTGTACGCACTGAAACCTCCGATCGCCGCATGCTCCAGGCAGTCTCTCAGCGTAGAGAGGTCGGTCACAGATTGTCCCTGGTCTCGCCAGACAAAGTTTCGGACACTCTTGATCCGCTCTTCGTAGCTTGCGAGCGCAACAGCATTCTTGAAATAGACCATTGGCTGGCTCCGCGAGAACTCCGTTGGCTCATCCGCTGGGTCCCTTTTGAGGACTGGTGAGGAGGAGTACGTTTCCATGTTCTCTACATCCGTGGCCTCCCGGAGCAGTTTATAGCACTTGGTAGCAGCTCATGAGCGAAGGCCTTGATTCCAATGAAACAAGAGAGACTGCCAGAGTTCGGGATTAAGGCTGTTCAAAATCCTATTGAGTTTTAACATGCGAGCAACGAGTATCATTTGTTGTCGCGTCTGTTTATAAGAGACCACTATTCAGTTAGTCTCTCTTGACAAACTTCCTCTCTCGCGCTTCGTTCTGAACTATTCAGTAGCAGCGGGACTTGATTGATCACGACGGAGCGCAGGCGATGCGTCGCCATGTAGGAATACCTAGCGATTCGATGTGGATCATTGCCTTTGAATCGAATACGATGCATCACCTTATCTTCTAGTATGTCCCCACGCGCGCATGCCAGATCGTGGGGTACATGTGTCATGGCCGGCGGCAGCTCTGGCAACTTATCCGGGTGGACGGAGTTGAGCGTGACCACTGGCGTCCGAGGCAGCGGCGAGCAAGCGGTGAAAAGGTTCAGTGCCAGACGGGTCCCGCCAAAGAGCGCCACACTGCGCCACATATTCCGCCGGGGGAAGGCTGGCCGCTGGACCAAGACTGGGCGAATGCCGCCGGGGAAGAAGGCCATGGAGACGTCAACATTAAACTGTCAAGTTGAACATTTGAGAAGCGGATGGAGGAGAGCACGAAACGAAGGAGAAGAGGGCGAGAAACGGCGGTCGGGACGTTATTACCGCAGTAGATCAGCAGAGATTTAAACTCCGACAGCCCGAATGTCCGAATGATGGCCGAGTGATGGCCGGTTCATCCCGAGAACTTCAAAGCTCGAACTTCAACCACGAAGATAGTGCCACGGTGAACCTGGAGAGCAATTTGTGAGCAATGCTAGTATTCCGTAGAGCAAGAAAGAAAGTATTTGATCCCCGATATAAGTAGTCGAACCCCGGGCAGCATCTGATCCAACGATGTACCGTACACCTATAATAAACGAGGTACGAATCGAGAATGTTATAGCGTCTGTTTGTAAGAGACTACCGTACACCATGTTGGAATGCTTTAATAGTTGCGAAGGAATAGGTGACAGATTCCGCAGGGGCATAAACAAAAAGGTCTGGCATTTTCTTCCATTCAGACATGGGGAGTCGAACCCCGAGCTGCCTCTGACGACTCGCTCTATGATTAAGGAAAGAGGTAGTGCGCCGTACACCATGTACGATCTTTTGTAGACATGCGAAGGTGTAAAAGCCACCCATATTCCATGGTTAGCTAAAAAGGCTAGAGAATGTTATTTCGACCCGGACAAGAGGAGTCGAACCCCGAGTTGTTTCATCAGCTTTCCACTGTTCCAGCGTTTCCGCGAAGGAGAGGGTGGTACCGCACACCATGCCCGAGTTCTTTTATACCTGCGAGCTTTGATACGTTAGCGATTTTAGTGCCGGCATTCGGACAAGAATCAGTGTCATGACAGGAGGAAAAATAAGGATGGTCGCTTGCCACATTCGAACATGGGGAGTCGAGCCCCGACTCTCATAATTTTCCAGGCAGTTCTATTCAAGAAAGCGGCGGTGCGCCATACACCATATCCGAGTTCTTGTAGACCTGCGAAGTTGGGTAGGTTAGCAATTTTTTTTGCGGTGCGCTACAAAAAGACAGCGTAACCATCAATTCGGGCACGGGGAGTCGAACCCCA